GGTCTCATTCCCAGAATTTTGGGGTCCCATTTGCACAATTTTGGGGTCTCATTCCTGAAGATTTTGGGATCCCATTCCCAGAATTTTCGGGTCCCATTTGGGGTCCTCTCAGGGTCTCATTCCCAGAATTTTGGGGTCAAATTCCCAGATTTTTCGGGTCCCATTCCCAGGATTTGGAGATCCCATTCCCGGAGATTTTGGGTCCCATTTTTGTGGGGTTTTCGGTCTCAATTTGGGAGATTTTGGGGTCCCATTCAGAGAATTTTGGGGTCCCATTTGGGGTCATCTCAGGGTCTCATTCCCAGAATTTTAGGGTCCCATTCCTTTAATTTTCGGGTCCCATTCCTGGAGATTTTGGGGTCCCATTTGCACAATTTTGGGGTTTCATTCCTGAAGATTTTGGGGTCCCATTCAGAGAATTTTGGGGTCCCATTTGGGGTTATCTCAGGGTCTCATTCACCGAATTTTGGGGTCACATTTGCACAATTTTGGCGTCCCATTCCTATAATTTTGGGGTCCCATTCCCAGAATTTTGGGGTCCCATTTGGGGTCATCTCAGGGTCTCATTCCCGGAATTTTGGGGTCAAATTCCCAGATTTTTGGGGTCTCGTTCCCATGATTTTTGGATCCCCCTCCCAGAATTTTGGGGTTCCATTCCTTTAGAATTTTGGGGTCTCATTTGGGGTAATCTTGGGGTTCCATTCTTGGGGTTTTGGGGTCCCATTCCCGGGGGTTTTGGGGTCCCATTCCCGGCATTTTGGGGTCTCATTCTTGAGGGTTTTGGGATCCCATTCCAATAATTTTGAGGTCCCATTTGGGGTCAATTTCGGGTCAAATTCCCAGATTTTTGGGGTCTCGTTCCCATGATTTTTGGATCCCCCTCCCAGAATTTTGGGGTCCCATTCCTTGAGAATTTTGGGGTCTCATTTGGGGTCATCTCAGGGTTCCACTCTTGGGGTTTTGGGGTTCTATTCCCGGGGATTTTGTGTTCCCATTCCCATAATTTTGGGGTCCCATTTGGGGTCATCTCAGGGTCTCATTCCCAGAATTTTGGGGTCCCATTCCTGGAGATTTTGGGGTCCCATTTGCACAGTTTTGGGGTTTCATTCCTGAAGATTTTGGGTTCCCATTCAGAGAATTTTGGGGTCCCATTTGGGGTTATCTCAGGGTCTCATTCACCGAATTTTGGGGTCACATTTGCACAGTTTTGGGGTCTCATTCCTGAGGGTTTTGTGATCCCATTCCCATAATTTTGGGCTCCCATTTGGGGTCATCTCAGGGTCTCATTCCCAGAATTTTGGGGCCCCTTTGCACAATTTTGGGGTCCCATTCCCAGAATTTTGGAGTCCCATTTGGGGTCATTTTGGGGTCTCATTCCCAGAATTTTGGGGTCTCATGCCCATGATTTTTGGATCCCCCTCCCAGAATTTTGGGGTTCCATTCCTTGAGAATTTTGGGGTCCCATTTGGGGTCATCTCAGGGTTCCATTCTTGGGGTTTTGGGGTCCCATTCCCAGAATTTTGGGGTCCCATTTGCACAATTTTGGGGTCCCACACCTGAAGATTTTGGGTTCCCATTCCCATAATTTCGGGGTCCCATTTGGGGTCATCTCAGAGTCTCATTCCCAGAATTTTGGGGTCCCATTCCTATAATTTTGGGGTCCCATTTGGGTCACCTCAGGGTCTCATCCCCAGAATTTTGGGGTCCCATTCCTGGAGATTTTTGGGTCCCATTTTTGTGGGGTTTTGTGATCCCATTCCCATAATTTTGGGGTCCCATTTGGGGTCATCTCAGGGTCTCATTCCCAGAATTTTGGGGTCCCATTCCTGGAGATTTTGGGATCCCATTTGCACAATTTGGGGTCTCATTCCTGAAGATTTTGGGTCCCATTCCCAGGATTTTGGGATCCCTTTCCTGGAGATATTTGGGTCCCAATTTTGTGGGATTTTGGGGTCCCATTCCCATAATTTTGCGGTCCCATTCCTGAGGATTTTGGGGTCCCATTCCCGAGGTTTCGCATTCCCATTCCCAACATTTTGGGGTCCCATTTCTGCAGAATTTTGGGGTCCCATTTGCAAAATTTGGGGTCCCATTTTTGTGGGGTTTTCGGTCTCACTTGGGAAATTTTGGGGTCCCACTCTCGGGGACCCCTCGATTGTCCCCGTCCTCCCCCATTGTCACCCTCACCCCATTGTCCCCTCCTCCACTGTCACTCTCCCCCATTGTCACCCCCGCCCCTCCCCCATTGTCACCCCCATCCCCCCCCTCGGTGTCACCCAATAAAATCCGAGGGTGACAAAGGCTCTGTGTCATTGGGGGGAGGGACCCTGAGTGACCCCGACCCATCCCAGTTTATCCCAGTTTATCCCAGTATCCCCAGTGTCCCATCCCAGTCCCATCCCAGTCCATCCCAGTCTATCCCAGTCCCATCCCAGTCCCATCCCAGTCCATCCCAGTCCCATCCCAGTCCCACCCCAGTCCATCCCAGTCCCATCCCAGTCCATCCCAGTCCCATCCCAGTCCCATCCCAGTCCATCCCAGTCCCATCCCAGTCCATCCCAGTTTATCCCAGTATCCCCAGTGTCCTATCCCAGTGCCATCCCAGTCCCATCCCAGTCCATCCCAGTCCATCCCAGTTTCTTCCCGTTTGTCCCAGTCCAGTCTGTCCCAGTCCATCCCAGTTATTTCCAGCCTGTCCCAGTTCCTCCCAGTTCAGTCCATCCCAGTCCATCCCAGTTTGTCCCAGTTACTTCCAGTCTCTCCCAGTCCATCCCTGTTCATCCCAGTCCATCCCAGTCCATCCCTGTTCATCCCAGTCCAGCTCATCCATCCCAGTCCCATCCCAGTTCCTCCCAGTTTCTTCCCATTTGTCCTAGTCCATCCCGGTTTGTCCCAGATCCTTCCAGTCTGTTCCAGTTGAATCCGGTCCGTCCCAGTCCATCCCAGTACATCCCAGTCCATCCCAGTCCATCCCAGTTTGTTCCAGGGATGGGGGAATTTGGGATTTTGTGATTGGAGGGTGGGGGATGGAGGCACTGGGGGCACTGGGAGCACTGGGGACACTGGGACAGACTGGGACAGACTGGGACAGACTGGGACAAACTGGGACAAACTGGGACAAACTGGGACGGGAGGAGCCGAGCGGAGCCGAACGGAGTCGAACCCGACCGAAGGGACCCAGCCCTGACTCGAGCGGAGCCGAAGCGATCCGCCCGAACGAACCCGAGTGAACCCGAATGGACTCGACTGAACGGAGCCGAGAGGAGCCGAACAGAGCCGATCGAACGAAGCCGAGAGGAGCCGAAGGGACCCGACTGAACGAAGCCGAGAGGAGCCGAAGGGACCCGACC